ATATATATATAGGTAAATCGACTTATTGACAACCTACACACGTAAGTGTGAACGAATTAGAAAAATCACCACATAAAATTATAAAAAGGGGTGTTTGGCAAATAGTTGATAGCTGTTAGTGGATTGACTTAGTTGATACCTATTAGCTCATTGGGTTAGCGGATTTGACTATTAATTGCGTTATTGTAGAAAAATGTTTGATAAATTAATTGTTAGTTGATAGTTGATTACATGCAAAATGACCTTTAAAATATGAGTGTATTATGTTATTTTAACCTATAATAATAATAATAATAATAATAATAATAATAACAATAATAACAATAATAATAATAATAATATATTATTCTATTATTATTATTATTATTATTATTATTATTATTATTATTATTATTATTATTATTATTATTATTATTATTATAGATTTTGTATAAAAAAAAAAAAAAAAACATATGTTCACAAGCATAGAAAACCCGTGAACGCTAATCAGTAATCATATGTCTCGTTGCTAATTACCTTCACAGTACTTGGCAACGGGTTTATGAGCCCCATCGACGGGCTCAAGCACCCCGTTGCCTGTCTCGATGCGAATTGCTAAACCCGTCTACACAATCTCATTGTTTTTTTTTTTTTTTTTTCTAAATTATTAGGGGCGTTTTTGGAAAAAATAATTTATTTTCTCAAAAAGCTAGTTGAAAAAGCTGCTTTGAACAACTTTTTAAATTTTAGCATTTTGGAGCAATAAGTTGTTATATAAAAAAAAAAAAAAAAAAAAAAACTTATTAACCAAACACGACTGTTTGACTAAACCAAACAACTAATAGTTGTTAAAGATGCCAAAATTGACTCATAAGCTATGTTATCCAACAAGGCCAATATGAATTTGATAATACGTACAAGTGTAACTCAAAAAGCACGTGCTCCGCATGCAAAATTACAAACTGCATCAATTAATCCATATTCATTTAAGGGTGTGTTTGGTTGAGAGGTTTAGCTCTAAGGAATGTGTATCAAAGTGATTGTTCTTGTTTGGTTTGTAGGTTTTTAAAACATTACTATAGGTTTTAAATTTCCCCTTAATTGAAAAACTCATACCCAAATAAAATAAGGGTATCATCCCCTTTCATTCCCTTTGATTAGTGTTTTTAGATTTTTATTTTTATTTTTATTTTTGTTCATATTGGTGTTTTGGATGTCTTTATATTAGAATCAATTGTCTTGATTTTGTATTCTTGTATTTTTAAAATCCTTATTTGCATTATAAGGTCATACATAACCAAACATCATTGATAATCATTCACATTCCATCCTACTACCAAACATGCAAAATACTTTCACTAAAACCTCTTACCATTACCAAGTATTTGATACCCATTTCGATTCCGATTCTCATGTGCGAACCAAACACACCCTGGGGGCGTTTGGTTCAGGTTATATTACATAACCAAGGGAATGTGACATTCCCGATCTTACATTCCTATGTTTGGTTCATATTCTCTGAGTGAATATAACATTCCCTCCACATAGGATTTTGAAGGGAATGTGATTCCCTTCAGGGGCCGTTAGCAGTGTTGTAAAAATCGGGCCTAGGCGGTCGGCCACCTTAGCGCCCGCATAGGCGCCTATTAATCGATCTTGGCGCCTGCCTAGGCTCTCTAGGCGGTCCCCAAGCGCCTAGAGGGTGCCTAGGGATTTTTTCAACATTGGCCGTTAGGTTCAGATTATATAACATAACCAGGGAATGACATCTCAAAGTTCACATTCATATGTTTGGTTCATATTATCTTAGGGAATCTAACATTCCCAAGGAATGTCACATTCCCTCCACATAGGATTTTGAAGGGAATGTGATTCCCTTCAATTTCTTAGATTATGTAAGATAACCTTGGTTATGTTTGTTTATTTTATATATATATATATATATATATATATATATATATATATATATATATTTGTAATTTTATATTTTATATTTTTATTATGTTATGTTAGCATATAAAATAATTTTGTTTCTCAAGTTCAAGATTTTAGTTAACATTTTAAAATCATGTAATTATATATGATACCGTTATCTTATTTATTTATTTTAATTTTTAAATTTATTAAAATATATGAAAATATGTTAAAGGATATTATACTGTGTGTATAAAAGATAACCAACCATAAACTAAACATGATTATATTACATACCCCAATTTTAACCAAACATAGGAATCTAACTTTCTCAGCAATCTAACATTCTCTAAGGTAATATGACATTCCGTGAACCAAACGACCCCTCATTTTCTTAGGTTATGTAAGATAACCTTGGATATTTATAAATTTTGCCATTTTAATTCTAATTATATATATATATATATATATATATATATATATATATATATATATATATATATATATATAATCCTAAACCAAACATGATTATATTATATACCTCAATTTTAACCAAACACCGTAATCTAGCATTTTCAGTAATCTAACATTCCCAGCAAGCAATCTAACATTCTCTAAGGTAATCTAACATTCCCTAAGATAATCTAACATTTCGTGAATCAAACGGCGCCTTAGTTATATTTATATATATATATGTGCACATATTTTTTAGCACACTTTTACATATTAGTGAAATGCATGGGTAATTGTGAGCAATGTTTATTTTGAAGTGTGGATATGCAAGCAAACCTGATGTTGATGGATAATGCTACTTTAATTTGAATTAAATTTTTTTATACTAAATTTTATATTAATATTCATGTATGTTATCATACATTTCAAAAGATTGTGATTAATTTATAAATAATTGACACCTATCATTAAAAAAAAAAAAACATTATTAAATTAAAGAAGATCACAAATGCAAGAAGGTGAAACAAGATCGACTCCAAACTCTTGAATCAGACTAAGAACCCGCAGCCTTCGCAAAACATGCTTGACAAACACATTTCCAATAGTAGTAATGATACCTAGAATGATACCAACATAAGAAAGATCGGAGGCTGTTCTAGTGTTGTATGAATATTATGACAAAGATTTAAAGAGAATGTTTAATTAATTTAATTTGGACCATATATACTAAAGAAGAAGTCATTAAGACTAGCTCAATGGGGGACCACAACTTATGAAGAAAAGGATTGAAAGTGTTACATATAGAATCCTATGTAAGAATTTATGTTAGAGGGAGTCTTATTAGGCTATCATTTGATTTTTTTTTTTTTTTTTTTTTTTTTTTGAAAGGACTATCATTTGATTTAGTTAGCGAAAGGAATTATTTTCCAGCTGCAATCACGCTTGACATTAAAGTTTGAATAGTAATTTTTTTTTTGTCGAACTTAAGACTTTTCATTTGAGGGGCACAACCATGCCACTTGATCACAAAGCCTTTGACAGTAAAATATTTAATACTTTTTCTTTAAATATATTAGTGCCAATAAGCTAAGGGCAAATGTTTATGCCGACAATTCATATCATGAACTAGGGTCCACATACCATTATGATCATGAATCGAAATGACGAGGTATATACAAAACTATACTCGTAAATAACAGAATTTCATAATACAAGACACAAAAAAATTACAATACAAGACACATATATGTTTACTTATTTTTCAAATCTGATTTATGTACATAATTTGTGTTTATATACACATAATTTCACAACACAAAACACAAAATTTTATAACATAAGACACAATTACTAATTTGTTTCAGGTACATAATTCATACTCTTAAAGTACAAAATTTAATAACACAAGATACAAAACTCACAACATAAGACATAATTACTAATTGGTTTATGTCGGCTTGGGCCTCCTCCTCTTCGTAAATTCTATTCTTTACTATATATAGGATAAATTATCTAAAAAGATTTGTTTGAATATCAATGTAGGCAAAACATGGCAAATTATGCCGTGCATCCGTATGCACCATGCATGGTGCATACGGATGCAAAAATGACGTCGTTTTATTAAAAACGCGCGTCTCACTTAAAAAAATAATTCAGTTTCGATTTCTAACAACAACAACATTTTGTGCATAATTTGAACTATATATCCATAATCAATGAACTAAAATTCCAGAATCTATGAACTAAAATTCCAGAATCTATGAACTAAAATTCCAGAATGAATGAACTAAAATTCCAGAATCTATGAACTAAAATTCTAGAATCGATGAACTAAAATTTCAAAATCGATGAACTAAAAATCCAAAATCAATGAACTAAAAATCCAGAATCTATGAACTAAAATTCCAGAATCTATGAACTAAAATTCCAGAATGAATGAACAACATAATGCTGTTGAGGGAAATCGAAACTGATTTTTTTTTTTTAAAGTGAGATGCACATTTTTAATAAAACGACGTCGTTTTTGCATCCGTATGCACCATGATGCACAGCATAACTATTGGACAAAACATATCTCAGAACAATTTTGTATGAATTAAGGTTACTTTTTGAGGAACCAAAAGATTAATTAAACTATTAACCCAAATTGTTGGATGGTGCAGTGGAGTTGGAACAAAACCCAAAGTCCAGTGGGCCTAGCGATTAATATGCCAATTGTTATACCATGGAGCAAGGTTTATATTGTATTGTGAACCTTGATATAAAATTTTGTACTTTTCTTTAATATATTTAGTTCCTACAATTAACAATTTTTGTACATATAAACAAAAACTTGATAATTGCTGACACATAATAATATGATAACTACAAGTACAAAAATTATCAACTACAAATAGAAAATGTGTCAAAGAAAATGTGTCAACTATAGATACAGAATCTGGATGTGTCAACTAATAATTTATAATTTACCCTAATATGCAGCAGAAAGTGAAAGAAACTCTGAAGTAGTCTTCACGAATGCAACAAATTCAAGCTCCAAATTTATTTAGATTCACTTTAAATCATTCAAATTAAGCATTTGAAATAATTTTTTTACATACATAATTAGTTTCAAAATCTCTAATAATTTAGAGTTTCATCACACTTATCCTGAATTACAAAACTCTTAGACAAATACTGAAAATATTTTCACACCCAAAAAATACAATATCCACAAAGTGCAAGAAAATATATAATCACAACTCAAAAGTACCATTCACCAGCCCAACAGTTTGAGACAGTTAGTACACAATTATCTAAGCAACGAGAATCGACTCTCATATGTGTACAACATGTTCCAAATCTGGATTATATTAGTTTCATAGTAATAGGCATCTTCCGCTCTTCTTTGCATTTGATTATTCAACTTTAGATATTCGATCTTCCCAGATATCTTCTATGTGTGTACATTGTGATTCAACTGATTTTGATCTATTTAAAAAAGAGAATGCAAAATGGAAAAAAGTGAAATGAGATGAGAATTGAAGGAGAAAACTGCAATAGATTTTGTAAAGAAAATTAGCATTATTATATTGAATAAAAAAATAAATGCAAAAATAAATAGCTTCAAACCTCAAAAATTCCATCTCTAGTTTCCCTTTTAGATCGTCGAATATCCTCCGCAGAAGTGACAACGGAAGGACAACACTGCTGCAACTCAATTGACTTCAAGGGATAAATACCTTTCATAATATGAGGAATTTTTTCCAAAGAACAACAAAATCTTAGGACTAAGTGCTCAAGATACCAAAATGAATATTGACCAGCTCTCCATTGCTTGAGCGTTTTATCTTCAAGAAGCAAGAATTCCAAATTACGAAATCCTCTTTCTTTTACTTCCCATACTTTTCCATGAAAGACATTTTTCAACTTGAGAACTTCAAGCCGAGGCAACATGCCAATTACCGTTAAATCCCTCTCCGAAAGGTTAATACCATTCAAGCTCAACTTCTTTAGTTGTGAAGGAAACACAGATGATTTTGGAAGGGTTACAACATGGCCTAACGAAATTGAAATCGTTAGCCTCTCAAGTCGTTCCAAACATTCAATATTATCCAAAATAATTGGATTGCTGCCAGATACAAAGATTTTCAAAATTTTAATGTTTGGAAACCTGCAATATACTCTTGTTCTGCAATGAGTTGGACACACCCAAGATAATGTTTGCATATTATCTTTATCCATGCTTGGAGGATCAATCACATAAGATTTATCAAGTTCAAGATGTTGTAACTGGGGTGACTCCCAAATTGTACAAGGCAAATGGAGAGGCGGAGGGGCTTCAAGTTTGGATTCTTTACTAGAAACAACAAGTGTCTGCAAGTTTCGATTGGTTGACACTACATACTCAAGACCCTCAAACCATTCAGATACAGATAGGTATCTCAAAAATATTAAATCCTGTAAGCATGTTGGCACTCTTTGAAGAAAAGAAGATGGAACAAAAGCCAAAACTCTAAGCAACTTGAAAGATACAAATATTTCTGCATCTTCTTGAAAGAAGAAAATGGAACGAGGATTGTTTGTTTTTAACAACACATAATAGTCAAATTTATGTGTGTAAAAACTTAACCAGCGGCATGAATTTGCAAACATGCTAAATGACCCTAGTGGAAGTTGCTGAGTATTTAAAGCACATAAAATTCCCTCTTTCTGAGCTTCTCTTACGCAAAAGCAATGGAAGGCACTATGCATTCTACAATTCTTAATTTTTCCACCAAAACTCCACTTGTCAATTAGAACAAGACTTCTATCAATAAGCTCTTTTAAATACTCATAAGCTTGATTTTCTAACCCCTTATTCTCCAAAGGCTCAATAAATCCCTCATCAATCCATAACCTAATAAGTAGTTTCACTTTGATTGCACTACGTTTTGGAAAAACTCCAAAATATAGAAAGCAAACTTTCAAATGTTGCGGCAGTTGATGATAAGTGAGGGTGAGTGCCCTTTTATCTAGAACTCCAAGCAACTCTATTTCCTTTTCAACCTTCTTCCATTCTTCTTGTATGTTGTCACACTTAGATAGACGCTTTGCAACTACAAGAATTGAGTGCGGCAATCCATCACATTTCTCTACAACTTGGCTCTTAATTTTTTCAAATTTAGGTGCCATATGTTGTTCCAAAAAAGGATTATTACAAAATAAATCCCAACTTTCTTCTTGATTTAGCAAAGGCATGTGATGGACATAGAAACTTGGGGGGCAATATTCCTCACCGAAATTCCTATTGCTATAAAAGTAATCACTCCTTAAATGCGTAGTGGTTTGCACTACACGACTTCCATTATCATCTTCATCAGGAAGACATCCTCTTATATCATACCAAGCTTGAGTGTTGCATAAGTTATCCAAAACAATTAGAAACCTCTTACCTCTCAAGAAGTTGTATACCTGCCTAGCTGCTACATCATCATCATCAGGAATGTTTGCCTCCTTTGTTAGTGTCCAAAGAAGGTCGTGTAGCATTTGGCTCTTGTTGTATTTCCCAGACATAGTAACCCAACCTCGTACATGGAAGTAGGATGTAAGGATTGGATCATTATAAACACTCGTAGCTAAAGTTGTTTTTCCTATACCGGTCATACCAAGAATTGTGATTACTTTGAACTCAAATGCCCAGTCATCATCCCGGACGAGTTTATCCACTATCTGCATATGATCACGGCGACGACCCACCATTGTGCCCCCCTCAAGCATCACCGGAGAATGTTTTATCCAAGGAATCATTGGTCCTTCACTTTCATTCTTCACTGCTTCTTTGCTTATGCTGCTGCTAAGTTTCAGCAACTCTGCTGCGTTTTCTGCCGCTTCTTGCAAGATCTGGAAGAGTTGCTGAGAAGCTTTTTGTTGGTCCTCTGCGTTCTTGGCCAGAAGAAAGTTGCTGAGTTGTATTTCGATGCGATCTTCGGCCTCCAGTGCAAAGTCTCTGATCTTCATCTCCAAATCTCTGGTTGCAGGGCCACCCCCAGATTTCTCTTGCACAGAAGCTTGCAAAGATGAAATCTTTTCAAACAAAGAATTGATTGATATGGATGCTTCATCATCAAGAGAAACCCTTGGATTATTGGGTTGCAGAAACTCCAACTTCATTGTTGCACTGAGAGAAGTCAAAGCAACAGAAGCCATCTCTCTCTCTTTCAAATTATTCCGATCTGCTTGTTTAGTTTTCTCAAGGAATGAGTGGGTGTGGCCACAACCCTCCAAACATTGCATAAAAAGATGAAGGTGGTCTGATCTTCTTGTTAAAATATTGTTTTAATTTCTCACTGATCTGTAAAACTTTGTCTCCACCAATGGTGCACATTGAAGTATTATTAATATATAAATAATGCCAACAACTTTTAAATTAACAAATATATATAATCACTGTCCAGGGCACCAATATCAATGTCCACCACCAGTAGTGGTCACATGGATCGAGTCTCGCCAGTAGTGTGGGAAGTTAGGGGACTCCTTGTGCACAATAAGTAAAAGTCCAGTCTCTGCTGAATTATCATATATAACTTACATCCTCTCAAATAATCTGTCGGATCGAGGCGTGAGGGGGCCTTTTGAAGTTGGAGATTCAATTTTTTGAAAACAATATTAGTCACCTATTGCCCGACTCCGACCACCGTCACCTCTACATAATGTTAATGTTATCAAGTCAAGGAACTGATTAATTTTAATTTATCTTTAAATATATTCTTTATACCTGAAAGGATTATTATAGGACAACCATACCTACCGGCAAATTATACTGTGCACTGCGGTCCACAATATATTATGGTCCAGGCATCAAATATGCACTGCAATTTCATTTCAACACAACGACAGTATCATTTTGATATAACTACAGTTTCACTGGAGAATACACACTCAAATATGTGAAATTGTTATTCATTTTCATTTTGTATACACTGTAGTTTCATTTCGACACAACTACAGTTTCATTTCAATTCAATTATAGTTTCATTTGATATAATATAATAAAAGTACTACGTTAGACAGTGTCAGTCTAGATAACTATAGTGTCTGTCGTTTTGAACCATGGTCGACAAAGCTTTGTGGACCGCGGTCTACAGTATAATTGCTTATACTTAACTTATGTGGCCTACTTTATGGGTCCACATAGTTTATGGGGGTAAAATGTGTATTTCTCAACCCTAGAAGTTTTTACGTATGCACTTTCTGACCTTCCATGTCAGAAGACTTTCCAACCCTCCGTGTCAGAAGACTTTTCGACCCTCCATGTCAGAAGACTTACTGACCATGCATCATTAATAGATACGATCCTAATTGAGTTCTTGGTTGTTAGAATCAATGACTAAATTGAGAAAAATCACTATAGTCAAAGGCCGAATTGAGTAAATTTGTTGTGTATTAATAGAGGAGAAGTTACCAAGTTATCCTAACATATGATTCAATCAGGTAAAATTATCGATGTTAAATATCCAATTAAATAAAAAAAAAACGTTTAAAACTAAATCAAAGAAAACCACTATAATCAGGTACTGAATTCGATATTAACTTAAAAGTTAAAATTGAGATTTCTCATAATTTGATTCTCATATACCAAACAATAAAATTTGAAACTAAAATTGTAATTCTTTTCCCTTAATTCTGTCCCGCTACCAATTAAATATGTATAGTATTTACATCATCACATTTTTCCTCATGGGGTCAGGAGTAAATTATTTGCTTTTTACATTAGAAGATGGTTTGCTTTTTACATCAAAGTCCAGTGGGCCTAGCAACTAATATATATGTAGCAGAAAACAAACCCATTATTAGGATGATAAATAAAACATACATTTTTAATTGTGTATATAAAATACATTATTTTGTATATTGTTAAATAATTTACTTTTAATATATTAAAAATGTACCTTTTTGTATTCATGGTCCACAAAAAAAATTTACCGAAATACAGAAACTCGGAACTAGTCTAAATGTATGAACCAAATTAAATTCAAGCTCCAAATTTGTTTAGATCAGATTATATTCACTGAATTGAATTATATTACAAGAGTTTTCATAAATATTTGAAATATTTTCACCCAAAAATAAGTGAAATATCTACAAAGTGCAAGATAACATATAATAAAAATTTAAAAGCACCATTCGTCAACCCAGAAAATTTCCTAAGTTTGATCCAAATCTGAATTAGTTTCTAAAAGTTGGGTAAAAGTGGTGATGAAATGATGTGTGTATGTGAGGGTGGGGTATTCTCACACCGGATAATTCGTCTCAAGTAGTGGACTAGAAATGTGTTGAATAGTAGGTAGGTAAGCACAAGAGTGTAGAGTGTTTAGAAGCTAATTCATGATAGTATATGTGATTCATGTGATAAGAGCAAAATAAAGAGAATGACAATACATTGTAATGAAAGATCAAGCAACAATTAACAAT